GGATCCTGTCAAACAAACGACAGCAAAAAAATATAACAGCTGCTAAGAAGTCAAGTTGAGAGATAAAGTTTTCGAGGCTAAGGACCTTCTCAGAAGTAGACTAAAGGTCTTTCTTAAATCTTTAAGCAAGGTTATGGATCCCAGGGTGGCTTTTAGGCACCAAGTCAAATATGTAATTTTGTGTATCATTCTTGTCATAGTATTTTGTGTTCCAGAAAACAAAGAGGACAAAATTGTCAGTTAGCATCTGCTGAGGCATTCTGTAAAGTAGCTTATAGCTGAAATCATCAGATTTGGAAGATCTGGTATCATTTATTTTTAATTGTGGTAAAAAAAAACCCACATAACATAAATTTACCATTTTAACCATTTTTAAGTGTACAGTTAATTGGTGTTAAGTGCTTTCACATTGTTTGCAACAGATCTCTAGGTATTATTTTAAATGTTGTTAAATAGTTTGGGGCATATTAACCAGAACTGGGAATCACGGAGGAAGAATGAGTTGTTAAACCGTATTCCAAAGGATGAATGCCAATCCAAATGAAATTTAAAAATTGTTTTAAAATCAGCCATATTCCCTTACAAACAAAAATATACTGGATGCGTAAAAGTACAATTAGTGTAGAAACACGTTCATTCATTTAGTTAACTCCATGATTACATGGAAGAAGTCTTTGGCCATGTGTGGTGCTGGTGCATAGGAAAAGGACTGGTTTATCACTTGTAGCATATTCTTTTGAATATCTCACACCATGTGACTCCCTGTATCACATTGTCACAACGTGTCAAGGAAATTACCTGGGGAATAAGGTGTAATTAAGCTTCTAGTTTCATTGGGAGACTAAACCCAGAAGAGTGTGTACTTATTATTCAGGGCTTTATAATGTCATTTAAAAATATGTTTTTCAATAAAAATTATAAATATTTAGGTGTACAACAAGATAATTTGATAGAAGTATACACAGCAAAATGACAAGCTAATTCTCATATCATCTCCTCACATAACTACCAATTTTTGTCTGTGATGAGAGCACCTGAAATCCACTCTCTTAGCTTATTTTCAGTATCCAACACAGTTTTGTTAACTCCGGTCATCATGCTTGTGTGTTACAGCTCTAAACTTATCCATCCTGCATAACTGCTATTTTGTGCTCTTTGATCTTTCCATTTCCCCTCCCTTACTATGTCATTTTTAAGCAGACAAACTTCTCTGTTTTTATTAGTATTTTGACAGTGGTTCTTCTTTCTTCTAGCGCAGTCTCTAGTCTTTTCATAGCACTTATCACTGTTTAATGTGTATCTGTGCTATGTCCTGAGCTGGTAGTACGGAGAATGATGCAGAGTAGGTCCTGAATAGCTACTTGTTGCTGAAATGCAATAAACAATAGTGTCTGTTACTTCATTCAACCAATATTTATTGTATGCTTACAATTGTCACATACCGAGTGCTCTCTCCAAATAACTGCCCTTCACCAAGAGTAGTCAGTCAGCTACATACTTCTCATAAAAGTAACTATGGAGTAAGGTCTTAGTGCTAACTATACCAGTCTGGACTGAGTACTTTGTTTAGTTCATGTCTGCTAGGTCCTTGTTTCTAAATGATACAGGTGACCCTATTTTTAAGTAAGCAATTTCTATATAATTTTGAGGCCATCAACAACTACAAAAAGTCTTTTATAAAGCACTGAACACTGGACTTCTCCCTGGCTAGGTCTACATACCACCCGTGTGTCACAATGTCTCCTTCTACATGCTCTTCCCCTAAGACCTCAAAAAAAGTGCCCGATGGTCTCCTGCTTTTGATTGGTTTACCATACATATTGAGCATTAGTTGAACAATAATTCCGTATTTTTGCAGAAATTGCTCTGGAAGAAGAAACATAAACTTTTTTCATTGGCTACTTATGATTTCAGTCTAAAACTAAAAAGGCAAGACAAGGGAAAGGGAACCACTTGCGAGAGTTTTAAAGCCTAACACATGCCTTTACAGTTTGCCCTCCAAGTTTTGTGTGTATTTTCTAGGCTGAGCAGACAATATCAGAAACCACAGAAACAACTCTGATCTAGTTATAATCGTTGGTAAGGAGGAGAATGCTCTGGTGGTTTAGAGGAATAAAGGAAATCCAAATCAAGATAAAGAAACGTACTAAACAAGTCACTCACTAAATTGGTTTATATTCGGCTCACTAAGAGATTTTCTCCTAGGCATATCCAAGAGATGCAAAATTTAAAATAAAATTAATACTGCTTTACCAGGGATGAATAAAGAGTGTATCTGGTGCCAACCACTGGGTAGAATTTCCCTGGGAGGACTAGAGGAGCATGATGAGCAAACTGGTTCTGCCAAATGCAAGGAGATAACTGAATGAATGAATGAATGAATGGAGGAACGGAGGCATGGAGGGAGGACCGAAAGAATAAAGGGTGAGATCTGCCCTCCTGATGATGTTTCACTTGAAATCAAGCATGTAAGACGCATTTGAAAAATACAGCTACAGTTGGTAAATGATTTTTTTAAGATGGGAGAAATAATCTCAAGAAAAAAGAGAGAAAGGAAACAAATCTTTTTTCTTGTTGTTGTTTGTTTCTCTTTTTGTTTGTTTTTATAACAGCTGATGTGCTGCTATAGTGGGTACTGAGGCCATTTCCCTAAGACTGTGAGAGTAAACACACAGTTTTCATTAAACGTGCCTTTCTTGTAACTGGTCCATAAGCATTTCACATGACTCTGCAGGTGAGTACCTTGCCTGGAAGAGGGTCTGGCCATTAGAGGGAGGGCCCTAGATATGCTGAGTCCAGACGTGCTGGGAGACTTGGCACCTTTATACGCTGCTTCTTAATACCAACCCCAGCATAAAATGTCATCAGAAGCCTGCATAAATATTGGACTTAGATTCACATAAATTATTTCTGTCCTGAGGTGCTTTATGCCAGAATTTAGTAAAAACAACACTTTGAGTAAACAGAGTTGGCCTATAAATGTAAGAATATTAATCCAACAAAATGATCATAGAAAAATATAATCAAAAGTACACACTTGTAAATCTTGCAGTGATGTGAGAGGTTTATCTTGTGCCTCTGAGTTTTTACTGAACGTGTCCATTGAGTTCCTTTAAGCTGACACTGCCAGAATGCTCTGAGTTATCTGTTGCTTTATGGAATTGTAGTCTTTGTGTTTCATTAAAACACTTAGGAATTATTTTAATAATCATTTGTGTGATTAGTACTTGTTTAGCTGAATCTACAAATTCATTTTAAGAGCAAACATTGGGACAATGAAATATAATGCCAAATATGAAGGCTTCTGTCAGCAAAAGCATCGTCTTATTTTATTAAAAGTCACCAACAAAATACCATGACCCAAACATACAGTTTCTATTTATGGGCACATCCTGCTCTGCAATATTATGGTATCAGCATGCCACAAAGCTGCATCTAGAAGAGTTTTCATTGGGGTATATAGGTAAATAGAGACATATAGAACCCTGGTTTTTATGTGCACACATCTTATTAGGTACAGCTTCCCCCAAAGTCCTATTTGGATTTTTGTTCTAATATAACAGTGCTCACACCATCAGTACAGAGTATTTAAAAGTGAATGAAGATTTCCTGAAAATGATGATAATGTAGCTACTGGAAATAATAACATTATAACACTTTCAGTGATCCGTTTGGCTTTAAGTACTTATTCAATAATATGTATTCCTAAAATATGTACTTATAAATTACATGAGATTGCAACATGCACTAAAAATACATTTCCCTCTAAATTCCAGTTGACTCCGTTCCTCACAGATAACTCTCCTTGTGTTCATTCTGTTTTTACTGTTTTCTACTCTCCGAGCTCTCAGCCCTTCTCTCCGATGTGTTGATATGCTTTTCCCCAAAGCTGTTCACGTTATCTCCTTTCCCTACCCACTTGTCCCCTTTTTGTTATTCTCTCACTCCCTACTGATATGGGAATAATGGGATCCCAAGGCTGTCCTTACAGTATAATTAAAGTATGAATTTCCAGGAGTTGGAAATTGCAGACCATTTTTATTATGTTTCTATAATAAAGCCAGGTAACACAGAGAGAATTAAAATGGCTTTTCCCTAGCAGATAACTTGGTAAAGATTTTTTTCCCTTGACTCTATTGTTTTAAGAGACTGGGAGCTGAAAATGGGAATAGATTCACCAATTCTCTTTCTGAAAACACCTCTATCTTTTACATGATATATATCCCCCTAGATCCTGGGAATATGCTGTAAACTTGTAACAGATGGTGATGAAGCTTCACATTTTTACACAATACAGTTTTTGAGATTCTGCATCTACCGTATGTATCTTCCAGGGAAAATGACCTTGAATGAATGAAGTCATCATCTGAAGGAAAAACACCCCACAGATAGACGAGCATAGAAATCATGAGTCAGTTGGGTTTTGTTTTGTTCCCTCAGCAAGATGAAATAATTTCAGATGGAAAACAAAATGAAACATAGGAATCAGAGTTCATCTTGACACTGGAGGTGTGTCTGTTTATTGTTCCAGGAAAACCAGTTAGTCGTATTCTGTACTGAACAGATACATGTGGAAGATGGAATATCACTGTTTGCAAGTAGCAATGCTATTTGCTTCACTTGGGTAATGTTGGGGGCTTACCAAAATTTGTTCTGGCACAATGTCTCCCAGCATGAATGTTAGGAGGGTTCTAACACTGTGAGAGCTGATATTTTATGAATGTTTTATCACTGGCGAGAACACAAGAAGTTTGCAATTGAATCAACAACATGTCAGACAGAAAAAAATATTAAAAAAAGAACATTAGTGGGAATTATTGATGTCCCTACTGTGAAAACAAACTGAAGTTACTAAGAAATTTGATCCTCTTAACTGATTAACGGAAGTCAAGTTTTAATTGCATGGCTTCCCAGACAAATCAAGTGGTGCTGTTAACCTGAGCACTGGTTGTGTGGAGGGTGCCGTATTGGGGGAAATGACTGCATATTCAGTTACCCACCTCTTTTTTCGACAGCTTCAATGCATTGCTTTACAAACCGTGGAACTGTGGAATTTTCACGTTCACACACTGTGTGCAGATGAGAGCCAAAAATTTGATCTGCAAAAGAAACAAAGATGAGCTTCATTAAAATCCAAGCTTGCGTTGTTCTTTAATTTGATTCTGTTTCCATATCCACTGCATGATGAAATTTGCATCTTGCATAGGAATCGATTTTTTGCTTTAATTCCAAGGTGTCTACCGCAGACATACAAGACCATAACTCCCTCTTTTAGGGAACAGGACTCCAGGCCCAGAGAATGAAAATGAACCCCCTGCCATCGATTAGACAGGGATGACAAAGAAAAGTTATAGTCTCTCTGGGCTTAACTTTGTTGTCTATAAAGTAATGACAGGGAATTGAGGAAACTTCTACAAAATAATTAATCTTAGTGAGTTCGTGTCTTGAGTGTTTGAGAAGAAATTTATCAACGGTCATCAAAATTATGAAATTGTCAGTATGTTTAGAAGATTCATTCCGTGGCTCAATGACCCCTGAAGGACCAAGTTCGAGGAGGCTTGCTCTGAAGTGAATTTCTTCTCATTTGTCCTGCCGTGAATGCCCTTCCTCATCTCTCCTCTAAGTATCCTCTTTCCTTTAGGGCTCAGCTCAGATGGCACCTCCTTCACCAACTCTATCCTTCCTAGCTCAGCTTTATGTCTCTTATAACCTAGGTTCTTCAGAATACCGGTTCCTTGGGATGTTAATGGGCAATCTGGGGGAAAGAGCCTGTGATCAAAATGATTTAGCAACACTGGATTAAACAAAGTGAAACAGATTTCTCTCACATGTATTTCTTTTCAGCGCCTGCGTCATGCCGACGGGCACTGGGGATCTCCGGGCGGGACTGGAGGATGCTCTACTTCCCAAGCTTACCTGAGCAAGACGCTTTCATTTCAAAGGGCGTATCTCCAGACTAATGCTGCTGAGAACACGCTCTGCGAAATTCTAGCCTAGCCCTCTCATTCGGAGCATGATTTATGTTACTGGGCTTCATGTATTTACATTTATGATATATGGAACGTACTTTCTCAGAGCAGTTTCTGAGCGCTGCATTGTCTACATGTGATGGTCACCAGTGCCCAGAACAGATTTGGGCCCATGAGATTCATGCAAATATTCTTTTAACTTGTGGTAAAATAAAATATACATAACATAAACGTTTACCATTTAAACCACTTTTATGTGTACAGTTCAGTGGCATTATTGTGTAAACATCACCAGCATCCATTTCCAGAACCTTTTTACACAACTTTGTAAACTGACTATATTTCAATAAAAATATATCTATGAGAAAAAAACTAGCAGAGATGTCGATTACTGATAATGAAACAAATATTTCGAAGATTCAAGGGCTTCCCATCTTGCAAAGAATGAACTCCAATTCCCTATCACTATTTCCAAGGCAGTATGACCTGACCTTCCTGATTTCCTGATTTCATTTGCTTCCTCTCTGCTCTCTCTGCCCTCTCTGAGACAAGCTCATCACTTGCCTGCCGCCACTCTGTAGACATTGCTGATTTTTGTCCAGCCCAAACACACTTCTGCCTCAGGGACTTTGCACTTGTTATTTCCTCGTCATGGAATGCTATTGCCCTAGCTCTCTGATCAAATGTCTCCTTTCCCACTCACCTTTAAAAAAAAAACAAAACTGCCAAGCACTGCCAATAGGAACTCTCCATGCTGCCTCTGCCTTACTCTTCTGTGAGCACTTTTCTCCACTCGACATATTAGATTGATAAATTTACAAGTTAGTTGCTTCCCTTGCATAGAATGCAAAACCTGGGAGAGTAAGGATTATTCCTATTTCCTTTATTACTGGATCCACAGTAACTCAACAATGTTAGCATATACGAGAAGTTCAATTAATATTTATTAAATTATTGACTGCAAGATATCATTAGTAGAGGTCTTAAATAAATTTAAAATATATTTGTAGCAGGAGTGGAAAGAAAAATAGCATAACAGATTGCTAAATGATATGTTACCACAAAGGGGTAGTCAACATGGACTGTAGTGAGGCTTCAACAAAGTCATGGTCTTCATCTATTTCTTAGAAAAGGTGATGGCTTGAATTGAGTACAACTCAGCAGGGAAGGAAGCAATTAAGGCAAAGCACTAATAATAATGTCCTTCAATATGGAAACATGCATTTTCATCCAAGAGACAGAAAGAAGATAAGCTCAAAACCCATCAACATTGTGTAGAGAAGTGGGAAATAGTTACGGATATTTGCTTTGAATACTTGGTCAAGTAACAAAGATTTGTTTAAAAACAGTGAATCATCACTGTAAGAAAGAGTGACATAAAATACTATTTAAGGAAAATAATCCAGAACTTCAGATTGGACACTTTAAATTGGCTAGAGATTATAGGCAGGAAGAAAGGTTACAAAGAATAAAATCCTTTAAAAGAAATCATAATTTAAATTTTACAAACATTTATTGAGTATCTTCTATACTTATAGCAAGGAGGTAGGCATATTAGTTTGTGAAAGAGATACCAAGAAGTTTATAATAGTAGGGCTAACAGAAATACTCAAACAAACAAAAAATAGAATATAGCAAGTATCATAAAAGGGACTCAATGCTAAGAAAGACGTTCTGTACTACAGGTATTTTTGTGTCGTTTAGTGGGGATGACGTGTTGGGCGGGTAGGGTCAGGGGAAGTTTATGAGATGGAGATTATTCAAGAAAAATAGATTCCTATCTGGAGAGAGATTTCTTTTTTTTCTCTCTTGATAGGTAGATACCAGAAGATGATGCAGATGAAGGCATTCTAGGATATTTACTCTTTCATTCATTGTGTTATTTAAAAAAAAAATCCTAAGTACATGCTCTGTGTCAGGAGCTAGGAAAGTCACTAGTAACACAATAACCAAGACTCAAAGTTTCTTGTCTAGTGGAGCATCGTATAAGTAAACAGATAAGAACATGTCATTGTGAAAATTATCATTCCTGGGGAAGGAGCGATGCACTGGGAGCATGTGATGGGGGATCTGAACAGCTGTGGGTGCCCATGGAAGACTCCCCAGAGAAGAACTGAGTCTTCAAGGATAAGTAAGACAAACTGGAGTGATCAGAGAGGGGACAAAAAGGCATCTGGGGAAGATGAAGGAGAGGCAGACAAACACATCAGTGATGAGAAGAATAGTAAGAAGAATGTGGTGTGCTGAGGGAAACACTAATTCTTTCTTATTTAGAGAAATCCTGATTTATTAAGCTTTAAAAGGAGATAAAGACTGTGTTATGAATGGTCTTAAATATTAAGTGAAGTAGATTAAATTATTTGAGAATATGCAAATTACATTGATTTCTTAAACAAACGCTATTCCCCTCCCAACTTCTTTCTTGTTTTTAGAGTCCACTCATAAGACAGAACCTGAAAATGTTCTCCATTGATTTCTGCCCCCTTGCAGCTTTAGATAGACAGTTTAGAATAGACAGTTCTGTTTGGGAAAGTGTAATAGGAAGTGACTTTGGAAGCTACGAGAGAAAACTTTTTTCTCTAATAAAAGCAGAGGGGTGTATGAAGACATTCAATCTTTTTTCCTTCCTGCTTTGAACATCACTGTGCAATCATGTGATACCTGGACCTACCATTGCAATCTTGTCACCATGAGGTGAAAAGCATGCAAACAGAAGCTAAACATGATAAAAGAGAAGCTACAAAAACCCTGAGATCTCAAAGGTATTGCTGAACTTCTAAACCAATCCTAAAATACATTCTCTAGATTCTTACTATACGAGATAATACAAATAATTTTTAAGCGGGTATTCTATCACCTGTAACCAAATGGCTCATAACCAGATAAGGGGCACAGATTGTGAGGAAGACTGGACACAAGGAGACTTGTCAAGAAGCTAATGTGATTGCCCAGGAAGGTGTTATGAAGACCAAAATCAAGATAGGCTTATGGTAAATTTAATCTTTGTTGAGAATTCTTCTCATCTCTGAATTAGATTTATACATTCACCACCTTTGCGATGTGACTTTGTGGTAAAACTCACAAGAGTGGGCAACACTTATTTCCCTCATTTTGCTGCTATTAGGTGTGCACATATGACTTGCCATGGATACAAGTCCTGTCAGCTTGAAGCAGAGCTGCCCATTCAAGCCTGTCCTAGATTACCTGACCCACAGAGACATGAAACATGAATGCTTTTTGCTGTTTGCCACTGAGAGCCTGTGTCTGTTTGTTAGGCAGCAATAGCTTGCTGATAAAGAGGGCCATAGGTGTATGAGTATTTGGTGATCTTAGCTATGCTATGAGAATGGAAATAAAGAGAGTTGACAGGACATGAAAACCAAAATGTGGGAGCAAACAGAGAAAACATTTCTAAATTTGCCAAGAATGTGGAATTATGCATCCATTTAGAGTCAACCCTAAGGAGGAATCTCAAAGGAAATTTCTCTCACCTTAAAATTTAAACTCATTATGTTTTATGTTATATTATGGCACTTCTTAATCTGTATTCTCTCCAGATCAATTCAATTCTATCTAATTCAATTCAGTGAATATTTCATGAGCACCTACCATATGCTGGACATTGTAAAGAAGGTGAAGATTGATTCACTCATTCATAACTATTACATGGCCACTATAAGCCAGACACTGTGCTTCAGCCCAAAAATGCAATGATGCATGAAACACGATCCCCTATAGTCTAGGGGGGCGAACAGCTCTCACAAAGTTATAATATGATGTGATTAGTGCTGCTGCAAAGGTGCTTAATAATAACATTGAAGATTTATTACATTAAGTCAGGCAAGGTTCATAGTACCTTATATATTCTTATTTAATCTTTATAGCAATCCTTAACCCTTTGGTGGTAGACACTATTATCATCCTGATTTTACAGGAAAGGAAACTGAGGCATAAGGTTTTTGAGTCATTTGTCACTACTTACAAAACATAAGGCTCTTACAAAAGAAAGAAAGAAAGGAAAAAAAGATAAGGAGCTGAACTAAGACAATGGAGAGATGAGAGATGGGGTGATTCAGTGGGATCTGTACACAGGGTGCAGGAGGTGAGCTAATCCACAAGGCAAAGAGGAC